TTCCTAACAGGCTACCGGCTGTTAGGAATTGTGGGAGTTGAAGTCCAAAACACCTGGAGGGAGGACCGAAGTTGGCCCCGGCCTGGGATAGATAGACACAGCCAAGGAAGCCACAGAACAAGGGCTGAGAGGAACGACGTCGAGCAGACCAAGTTCACAGGTGGGTCCCCCAGTTGCATGTGCCGATGGATAAGCAAGGACCAGATTTTGACCCTTGGTGTGAGTCTGGATTCAGCAGATAGGCAGCAAAGACATGGTGGATGTCCCTCATGTTCTTCATGAGAGTCAGGAGGCCAAGGGATGGCCTTGGCTTGGCTGTCACAGTCCGATATCCACATAGACCAAAGTAGCATGGGTGGTTCACGCAAGGTCTCCCTGTGGGTCTCTCCGCATCCAGTTCAGTGGCCTCGTGTGATGCTGGGCTGCAGCTTCCTGCCAGTGAAGAGAGGAGTCAGAGGAAGAACTGGATTACACTATGCACCGCTATGTTTGTTCCTGTCTTATCCATGTCATTTCTGTCAAGCTGAGGCGCAGCTTGATGGAAGGAATGCTAGATCTGACAGACACTGCTTTGTCACATAAGGACTCTGGAAGCTTACGTTACAAAAGAAAACTCAGTTTACTAACTTACTTACTTAAGCGATCCCTTGTTGGATGAGTAAGATGGTCTTCCATGATGGGTTTCCTTGTGGATTCGTAGGTGGCTGTGGAGCCCTATTCTTGACCCGCACCTTCTCCCACAGTGAAGGCATTGGTTTCCAGTTGGAAGGCGGTCTCGGTCAGTCTCGGTCGGGGAAGGCAGACTCGGACGCGCCTTCCTCTTGGCACGTTTCTCTCTTTCACCCTCCACTCGTGCCTCCTCGAATTCTGCAGCACTGCTGGTCACAGCTGACCTCCAGCTGGAGCGCTCAAGGGCCAGGGCTTCCCAGTTCTCAGTGTCTATGCCAGAGTTTTTAAGGTTGGCTTTGAGGCCATCTTTAAATCTCTTTTCCTGCCCACCAATGTTCCGTTTTCCATTCTTGAGTTCAGAGTAGAGCAACTGGTTTGGGAGACGGTGGTCAGGCATCTGGACATCGTGGCCGGCCCAGCGGAGTTGATGTTGGAGGACCATCGCTTCGATGCTGGTGGTCTTTGCTTCTTCCAGCACGCTGACGTTTGTCCACTTGTCTTCCCAAGAGATTTGCAGGATTTTCCGGAGGCAGCGCTGATGGAATAGTTCCAGGAGTTTCATGTGACGTCTGTAGACAGTCCACGTTTCACAGGCATAGAGCAGGGTTGGGGGGACAATAGCTTTATAGACAAGCACCTTGGTATCCGTACGGATGTCCCGGTCCTCAAACACTTTCTGCTTCATTCGGGAAAATGCTGCGCTTGCAGAGCTCAGGCGGTGTTGTATTTCGGCGTCGATGTTGACTTTGGTGGAGAGGTGGCTGCCAAGGGAGCGCAAATGGTCCACATTTTCTAATGTTACACCATTAAGCTGTATCTCTGGCATTGGAGAGGGGTTGGCTGGTGCCTGCTGGAAAAGCACCTTGGTTTTCTCAATGTTCAGTGACAGGCCGAGCTTCTCGTATGCTTCTGCGAAGGTGTTTAGAGTGGCTTGTAGATCTTCTTCTGAATGCGCACAGACGACATTGTCATCAGCATACTGGAGTTCTATAACAGATGTTGTTGTAACCTTGGTTTTGGCTTTCAGTCTGCTGAGGTTAAACAGCTTGCCATCTGTCTGAGAGATGATTTCCACTCCGGTGGGAAGCTTCCCATCAACAGGGTGAAGTCTCATAGCGATGAAGATGGAGAATAGAGTTGGGGCAATAACACATCCCTGTTTGACACCCGATTCCACCTTAAATGGGTCACTTTGGGAGCCATTGCCAATTTTATGCTTATATTATTTTGTTAATCTTATGGTTATGTTGTTTACTCTGTATGTAGTGATGATGTTACTTGGAAACTGCTCTGAGTCTCCCTGGGGGGATAGAGCAGTATATAAATAAAGTACCAGGACTGTGGCGCAGCTGTCTGAGTGTCAGCTGCATTAAGATCACTTCTGACCAAAAAGATCATGAGTTCGAAGCCAGCCTGGGTCGGAGTGAGCTTCCGACCAATTGTGTAGCTTGTTGTTGACGTTTGCAACCCGAAAGACAGTTGCATCTGTCAAGTAGGAAAATTAGGTACCACTTATATGTGAGGAGGCTAATTTAGCTAATGTATGCGGCCATAAAAATCTCCAGCAAAGCATGCGGGGAATGCGGAAGTACTTCATCAGTGTCGCAGATGGACGATAAAAGTGACAGCTCCCCTGGCAGCCAGAAAAAGTTAAATAGCCTCTGACTGTCTGTCTATATGTGTTGTGTGTCTTTGGCATTGAATGTTTGCCATATATGTGTACATTGTAATCCGCCCTAGTCCCCTACGGAGTGAGAAGGGCAGAATATCAATACTGTAACCCCGGTGGCGCAGTGGGTTAAAGCACTGAGCTGTTGAGCTTGTTGATCGAAAGGTCGCAGGTTCGATTCCGGGGAGCGGCATGAGCTTCCGCTGTCAGCCCTAGCTTCTGCCAACCTAGCAGTTCGAAAACATGCAAATGTGAGTAGATCAATAGGTACCACTCCGGTGGGAAGGTAACGGCGCTCCATGCAGTCATGCCGACCACATGACCTTGGAGGTGTCTACAGACAACGCTGGCTCTTCGGCTTAGAAATGGAGATGAGCACCACACCCCAGAGTCAGACATGACTGGACTTAATGTCAGAGGACTACCTTTACCTTAAGTAAGTAAGTAAATAAATAAATAAATGTTTTATTATTATTATAATGCTGTTGCTGTTGCCCATTTTTGGTCAAAAGATATTTAGTCGCCTGCGCTCTTTCTATTTTTATCAATTTTATTCTAATTTATACAATGCTTTTGATATGAAATCATAGAATCAAAGAGTTGGAAGAGACCTCCTGGGCCATCCAGTCCAACCCCATTCTGCCAAGAAGCAGGAATATTGCATTCAAAGCACCCCTGACAGATGGCCATCCAGACTCTGTTTAAAAGCTTCCAAAGAAGGAGCCTCCACCACACTCCAGGGCAGAGAGTTCCACTACTGAACGGCTCTCACAGTCAGGAAGTTCTTCCTCATGTTCAGATGGAATCTCCTCTCTTGTAGTTTGAAGCCATACAGTACAGGGTGACAAAGGTACAGGGTAATAATCTTGCATACACTACATGGTGACAAAGGCAAGGACAAACAGACCAAGAGACAACTTTTATCCTAGAGCTGGGACTATATTGAACTCCATGGTTTCACATTGATGTGGCCTTGGGGGCTGTGCTGTGGTGGTGGGAGTGTGGAGGGATGGGTGTGTTGTTCTGTGGTGTGTGCTAGGGAAGGCATTTCATGTCTTTGTGCAATAGTACCATGACAATAAAGTTACTCTCTTCTATTCTCTTAAGGGGGTGGGGGTTGCCTACCTGATAGCAGCCGTGAGATTCCGATGCCACGTGTCCAAGTCCTCTTGGTCATAGCACACCAGCAGCAACGTCTTGTGCGGGAAGGACAGCTGGAAAAGGGAGAACAGGGATGATGTGGAGAAGGAGGGTTGGACAGTAAGCCCTGGGGAATGGCATCGGCAGCCTACCCAAGAACGTGCTTCATAGAAGCTCACTTAGAAGAGAGCCCTGGCAGGGTTTCTGACTCTGATGATGAGCCCTCAACCTACTCTACTCAGCCTCCAAACACATTCTAAGCAGGGTTGCAGTGAGTTTTCCAGGCTGTCAGTGTTGGGACTCATAGAACAGAAATATATGTATGTAAATCTAAATAGACTCTCAAGACAGTAATATACAGCAGTATTCTGNAATGGACAAATTAGCAATGATGAACAACAAGAAAGAACACAAAAAATACTTCATCAAGAACTGGGAGTTATTTCTAAACTTTATAAAAAAGAAATAGGGAAAAGGTTTTATAGAAGGTGTCATAATGTAATCTGTTAGAATCTGTGTAGGCAATTTAATGTAAGTACTGTACCTTAACTCTTATAAAAAGGAACCACCCCCTTCTCTGAGTAGATTGCTAAAAGGCAAAGAGGCCAGTCCATCTCAGGAAAACTTTAAAGAAGCACTGACACCATCTACAATCTCTGTTGCAAAGTTACTAGTGGACATGTGAATGCCTGGGTGAAAAAATGGTGGTGGTGGTCAAAGAATGTTGCCACATTATCGTCTTCACAAAATTGATCCCTCTTTTCTTAGTCCTGGTCATGCCTGGTCTCCTTCTCTAGACATCAGACAGCCTTCATTTAGTAGAGTTCTCTCCTCATCCACCCAGCCTTTAGACTGAACAGAATTTTCTAAGTTCTTTGATATAATTTCCCTTTGTTTTATCGTTTCTATCCTTTGTTACATATGGCAAAGTGTTATCTTTGAGTTATCAATGGGTCATATAAAATCCATTTTGGTCCCACTCACTGCCCTTGATTTATACTTGAGTTTGACTTATACACAAATAATAAGTGTCGACACTAATTTTACAATGTTATTTTCTTTTGAATAAATTTTTGTATTTTATATCAGTGAATTCAGAAGTTTGTTAGAAGATTTTAATCCTTTTCTTACCTTTTACCCTTTACTCCCCAAATAAATTTTAATCAGTCACATGTTATAACACAAATACACCAAAGAAAATTGTAACATACAAACAAAACCTGAATGTGATGGAGCAAATCAGAGGCCATTTTTGGATTTAGAACACCAAATTCTTATTAAACCATCATACATTTTTTTAAAAAAATTATCACTCTCAGTTGTGCACAGCCCCGTGCAGTGACAGCCAGAAATTCTGAATTTCCAATAAGACAAGTCATTTTCTGGCCAGTGAAATTTAAAATATTATCACTGAGAGGAAGCTTCTGTTAATTGGATACTTTGGCTCATTCTTAATAGCCTGCCCTCTCAAAACCTGTCATTGCAAATCAGCTTTCAGAGAAGTTATTTACATGTCTGTGTAGTCATTTTCATCCTCTGTAACAGGTACAGCTTGTTCCACGGGATAAGGGGGTGGATCGTCTTCAACAAAGGACACAAGGCTGTTCTTTTCAATGTCATTCTCCTCCACAGTATGGGACTTGTTTTCTCCACCAGGGAAGGACAGGACATAATTTCCAAGTCTCCAATGTCCTTCCTAGGAAGGAAGGAAGTAAAAAGTACAAATCGAGAAGAGAAATCCAAATCCAATTCTTTTCTCCTTCTTTTTTTCAGGAGACTGCACAGGAAAGGAAGGGTCAGGTAGAATATCTCTGGATAATTTTCAGCACATCTCCAAAGGTTTGCATAAGATTAAAGGGAGACATGGAGGCAAATATCAACAAAATGACCCCCACACTTAAATTATTCTACTGGAATGAAGAAATTAGATAAAATCAGCCTATGTTTTGCGCTTAGAAAATGGAGCCACTTTTTTGTTTTTACCTTCTGTTAGACAAATTACATCTCATCCAATTATCTATGCTTTGAGAAAAGCTTTTTCCTCTCTCCGATTTCTAATATTGCCTTCAGCAAATTTAAAGGGGAGATATGCCAAAGTCCCCCTCAATTGTCACTTTATGTATATGTGGCAAACGAGGTGTGGGGCGGGGAAAGGGGAAGGGGGAATGACATGCACATTACACACCACTTGCTTATTAGATTGCTCTTTTTAATTCTTTCCCTGGGGATTTATTTTTGCAGGAGCTATTGACACTATTTCATTCTTAAATGCTGATAATGTGTGCAACAACAACAACAAGAAGCAGGAAACAGTCATATTAAAAAAATACAGTCAACCCACAGACTTTCTACCTGCCCAAATATTCCAAATGGAATGCCAGAAATGTCACTAAGAACAATACTATGGTCTGTTGAAGATGACAGGATGAACAGGCTGTTGTTCTGTATACAGGTCCCCAGGCTAGTGATGCCATCGTCATGAGCCTGAAATGATCTTATCAGAGGGGGCGGCTGTGTTATCACATTTTCTCCCAGAGTAAGGCAATAGTCCTAGTGGTTAACAGAAAGAAACAAATGCTGAAGTTATCAGAGAGAAAAGACAAAGTGGAAGAATGTGCTACAGGTCACATTGCCAGTTGAAAGTGATATAGTAGGTCATATCTCATCAAATAATAAGACAGAAGAATGGGCCAAAACAGAGCTGAAGAACCTGTGGCCTCCCTTGTTCCTAGCCTTCCCATATGCCAGTTGGAAATGATGTGAGTTGGAGTCCAAAGCGATCCTGACAGCCAGTTTCCTCTCTTTCCTAGCATACACTAAGACCTGTCAAAATGTGCTGGCATTATATTATTAGTCCCGATTAGGGGAAAGCCATCAAATCAATTGAATTTGCCTATGTGTTGACTCACCATTCAACAATTGATTCAATACACCCACCCTAGTTGGGTCTAACTAACATTATATTTTTCATACAACCTATTGATACACTAGAACTACTTACTCATAGTAGGATCCTACCCTGTAGCAATATGTGTCAGTATAACTCTATGGGCACAATCAATTCCACATAAACAGTGGTTTCCCAGTTCAGAGGTACTTGGATGGGAGTCATGATATCTGCCCTACTTACACAGTTTATTAGTAGAAAACACAAGATAAACCCTGCTGAAACAGATCAAATTTAAAACCATCCAATATCCCCAAGCTTGTTGACTCAAAAGGATTATTGAGCTACTTCTTATTTGGAAAAAGATCCTAATGGTGTAGAAAAAAGTCAAAGAGTGAATATGTAGCAAAATTGCTACATGAAAGAAGCAGATATTACCCCTGAAGGTTCCTGAGGAAAGATATGTGACCCTCAGATGTCTGGAAGATATCCATCCCAATTTAGTTGGAGGTGGAAATATATACCTTAGAGGGGAATTGATTTCTGGGGTTGTTAGTTATGCTGTACAATAGACTTGTGTGAGGATCTTTTTCCCTTCAGTACCTTCAAAAGCACATACCGGTAAGGGCCCTTCTGGTATGAAAACCCGCCCGCAGTGAAAACAAATGGAAGCCAAACTTGGCTCCTCCTCTGCTTTTAGGCATCACAGTTTAATCTTTTTTTAACTAATCCCAACAAATTAAAAGAAAACCCTCATTACCTGAAAATAACTACCACTTACCTCTCCTCTAGAGTAGGAACAGCTGAAAGGGAGCATTAAACCCAAAGCAGAAAGGAGATTGAAGCAGAGAAAGCACATGGGCCAGTGACTGCAGTACCTCTCCTCTAGAGTAGAAACAGTTTTAAGAAGCCTCCTGCCTTTAACGGGTCTGCCTGCAGCATCTCTCCTCTAGAGTTGAAACAGCTTAAATGCCTAAAATGATGGGAAGGAGAACCTGAGAGGCCCCTCCCCCCACACACACAATGGGCCAGATAGAAAAGGAATCTTTCAGCACCCCAGAGCAGAAATAGATATTTGCCTGCCAAATTTGGGAGGTTCCCGAAAAACAGATTATGACCCCCACCAAAATCTGGGACATTGAAATGGATTGTGGTTTACCTGGAATGCACAAGCCTACTGCACAGTAAAGAAATGGGATAAAATGAGAACACTGGTGAGGTTCTATAAACACATTGTACACAAAACTGACAAACTTTCACATTCCCAGACTGAAATATATCTGACTTAATCATTATGATTATTGAGTAGCTCTTCTCATGGCAACCACACCCACAGCATGAATACCTACAGGGCTTGAATGCAATCTCTCTGAAGACACTGCTTCAATATTCACAGATGTCATGAGAAGGGCACATAAAGCAGGTGCAGCATTGCTCAAGGTCAGGCTTAGTCATGAATATAATACATGAGCAGGGCTATGCTAGCAACCAATTCCATAAGTTACCCAGTATGAGTCAAGCGATTAAATATATGCACTTTGTTATGTTCATATATACATTTGAAAAGAACCGCATTATAAAGTGAGCTTCTATTGATCCAGGCCATTGATTCTTTCAGCCCAACCTTTGCCTACTTAGTGCTCTCCAAGCATTTGAACTGAAACTACAAAGCAGTATGACCAATGTATATGAATAATGGAGTTTGTAATAAAACATCTGAAGGGCACCAGGTTGGTGAAGGCTGGCCCTGATCATTACTCCACCTACTTAAGACAGGCAGAATCCTATCATTATCTCAAATGATTTCTGCCCAAAACATGCTTTATTAGGGGACTTATTCTCTAGAATTCTGGAGGAAAATCAACTTACTGTTGTTTGTGTCTATATTTATATTAAACTATATGTTCAATATGTGAGTCATTATTTCAATATGAGTCTATTTCTTTTAAGTTTTCTTCTTCTCTAGCAATGTATAAATGTATATTTTTTCCTCTTACCTCTATGTGCCATATCTTTACCCATCCCACCAGATCCCCTGTGATGAGATACTGGTTTTGTTTTTCAACCGTCATGATAATGGGCCCCACTCCACCATGAGCTTCAAACTCTGCCAGTAGGCTCCTCCTTTGTGTATTCCAAAATCTGACACAACCAGCACCTCCACAAGAGACTAGGTTTGCTCCTCCTAAAATATGAAAAATAATGATATAGCAATAAGTTTATGAGAGTCAGTGTAGTGGTTCAAAGGTTTGACTTGGATTCTGGTAGACCCATATTAAAAACCCTGCTTAGCCATGAGAGACTGTGAACAGTTCATACACTCTTGACTTCAGAAGAAGACAGTGGCAAACAACCTTGAAACAAAGGTTGAAAACCCCATAAGGTTTAGCACAGCTGGTAAATCATTAGCAACTATAAGATCTATCAACTGAAAGGTTGCAAGTTCAAAGCCACTGGTCGGCATGAGCAGCCGACCATCAGCCCTGCTCACTGTTTACCTAAGCAGTTCAAAAACAGCTTTAGCTGTAATTAGAGAAATTAGGTACCGCTAAAAGCAGGGGAGGCGTTTTACACGCCATTAAGAAAAAGAAGATCAGAAAATGCTGGAATGAGGAAGTCCTGATGGCTCTTCATATAGAGGATGAGCGACAGCACTCCCTGTGGACTTGAGCTCAACCGTCCATGGCACGACACAACGCCTCCTTCTGTTCTGTCTGTGTACTGTCTATACAAATGGCATTGAATGTTTGCCTTGTATGTGTACTTGTGATCCGCCCTGAGTCCCCATTGGGGTGAGAAGGGCAGAATATAAAAAATGTTGTTGTTGTTGTTGTTGTTGTTGTTGTTGTTGTTGTTGTTGTTGTTGTTATCTTCAGGAACATTGACTTCAGAATGGTGCCATATAAGAAAGGAGAACATAGGAAAATAATTCTCTACAACTGAATTTATTTTACCATACAATGTTGCCTCAATGTGAGTCAGATGATAGTTCCATCTCTTCCACTGTTATCTGCTCCAGCCATGGATGAAGTCAGAATATGGTTATGGACTCTGGTAATTTACCTACAAATTAAGAGAGTCCATAACCTTATTTATATGAACCGAATTTACACTTTAAAAATTTAAATAGGCCTAGATGGACAGATTCATCCATCTATGTCTAGGCCTTTGAAAGCTTAATTCTAAGTGTTTTCAACCAGCGATGAATTAGAGTTGGCTTCCCTATGAAAGTTCATTTATAGTTATAGAACAGGCAAGTACAACAAGAGACTGGAAGTGCTGTAGGTGTTAGACTCAGCGAATTTAATAGGACTTATCCCATTTAATCCCATGGCAAATTCAATCTCATATTAAATTTACTGACACATCCTGAATGAAAGACTGACCCCCAATACCCATGGGGAGTACCAGTCCTGCAGGTATAGGGATTGACCTGTATATAGCATCCTTGATTTTGCTGTCTAAGCACAACTCTGTAATCAGAAGCCATTTCTGCTCTGTGAGAACTCAGATTTGTATTTTGTTTATTGGACTATTAGTCTCAATTTTAATAGTATTGCTTTCCAACAGCAGTGAAATATGGTCCAATCTGTAGAGTCCCCACACAGAAAGTTACAGTAATAAAAAATTGGGCCTTGGGAACCTCGTTTCCAGACCTTTTATTTTCGATTTGCAAAACATGCACATGAGACTGTAAATCTTTATGTAAATGGTCTTCTCTTTGGCAAACTAAAGTTCCTCTTGTCGATTCTGCATACTTTATGAACACCCAAGAACCCTAAATAATCATTCAGGCAAGAGATTTCCCAAATCATTGCAGATAAATCTGTAGAAGGATTCCAATTTGCCTTGGAGGGAAACAACGATAATTTGATTCAGAAAACACCTGGAAAAGGCAGATGAGAAGTTATTTTATACTCTCAAGAGTAGCTGCTATGAAACTCCCAACTGGATGAAATTCTATCATGACTTAACGTCCTATGGTGCCTCTCTGACTCGCAAGGGGCATAAATCAATACATCATTTAACGCTCAGTGTGTGAGCAGCCTTTTACTACAGACTTGTTCATTTGGGTTATTGGAATTGACTGTCAAAATCTGAGACAGACAATTCAATTCAGATTTAAAAGAAGAAAGAAAGTGGATTAATGCTGAAAGAAAACATTGCTGCTAGGAATATTCAAAAATTTGAGGGGAAACAAGGGTGGAGAAATAATACTACTTGAAGCAGAATTGGAAAGGTTTCTTTTTTCCCTGCAAACTGGTTCCCACTGGGACCGAACTGGTAAGTCGGGTAGTGTCACAAGATGTAGGGTCCCTCCAAGTCCCACCTTTCCCCTCTGATGTCATCTGACCATATTACCTACATGGCATCAGTTTCTCCCTTTCTTTCAAGAGAGGCATAGAGTTTTATGCCCTTTTCTTTGCATAGAGAATGTTTCCGTTGTTTCCAATCTGAGATCTACCACTGTTCTTGCATTCTCAGTTGAGTGTACTGCAAGAAGTGAGACTCCCTCTGACATTTCTGATTTCACACCTGAGATACCAACAGGAGTTCTCATTGCCTTGACCATGTTCTCCATTAGCAGAGCAAGAGTTGAAGAGACTGGAACTGGAATTCTTATGTTACTTTAATCTGAGATCTGATTCAAATCACAACATGCCACTAGTCTTCCCAGCTGGAAGGTAAGATGCAAGAAAAAACCTCCCCAGTTCTGGGCCTGAGCTTGAGAAATTCAGCAGTGACCAATGCAGTGACCGAAGAGATTATGGTTGCCCTTATCCTGTTGCTAGGCTTTGATATGGCGATATGGCAGCATGTTTCATTAAATCACCCAAGCACTTTAAACATGCTTGCCTTAAAGTGAGCAACTTGCTTTGTATTGATTTGCATTTCATAGGATGCATCTACACTGTAGTTTGACCCCACTTTAACTGCTTATCACCCAATGCATGAAATTCTGAGATTTGTGGTTTGGTGCAGCATCAGCTCCCTTGGTGTAAAAGGCTAAATAACTTTTAAAACTACAGCTCCTATGATTCGATAGCATTTAGCTATGGAAGTTAAAGTAAATTCTACAGTGTAGACATACCCATAGGCATAACTTTCAAAAACGTAGCCTTGGTCATCCATTCCAGTGGATTCTTTAGTACATAAAATGGCAATAGTTTTGCAGATGGTAAAAAGAAGCTTAATTTCCCCAATAATATCTATAGTTACATCTTTTTAAAAGCAGTCTGCTATGTGCAGTATAGCACAGCACATACAGCCGTACTAAGAATATTAATTAGATTAGGAGCTGTGTGCATACCAATGTAGACAGATGGAACCTTCCTAAGATGGAAGCACATAACAAAGCACACATCATATTAAACTGGTTACAAAGCAGGACCTGAGGCACACAGTTATGTTTAGACTATTGATGGAATTTTCTTTAGTCTTGTTCCTACTACTGTCTGAGAATGAAAAGTACTTCTTTTTGGTTAATAGTAGGAAAGGACAAAGCAAGTCAAGAGCTGGTGTCAAGGAATGTCTGCCTGGGGATAAGGGAGCAATAGGGGTCCATCACCACAAAATAGCTGTGGGGAAAGTGACTCGTGGATAAAAGGTGGGAACAATCAAAAGCATCTCCTCACAGAAAAAATGAGTTATATGATAAATAAAAGGTGAGACACTAGTGGATGAATTGGAACTGTCCCTGCTAAATCAATTGGAGGGTATGATACCCCAAAAAAGGACTGTCATTTAAGGACTATCAACACAACTGTCAAGTTCTGATCTACTACACTTTTATAGTTAGGACAACTAACCTTGATCAGCTCAAAGGGCAATATGCAAACTGGGTCACAGCAAAATGAATGAAATGCTTATCCCATACCTGTTATTGAAATATTCCTGGTCTCCAAGAAGCAGAGCCTAGTTATTGCCTTGCGATTTTCTGTGTCAGAGCTGGTGTGGTCAGAAGATAGTGTATGTCTTCTAGAAGACAACCTGTCAGGAGGAGCTACGTTCTGCTGCATCTGAGAACCTGTGGGAGAATTTTTTGATTAGAGCCTAGCTAAGAAAAATAGGCTTTCAAGGTGCCAAACATAATCTTGAAACTGCTTTCAAAGCATCTTTGAGTTAAAGAAAAAAACATCTGTCTGGAGAGATACTAATAAGAAGAAAAAACATGTCAGTGATTTTCATTTCAGCAGGGCTTTCATCCAAGTCCAAATACAAATATAGACATGACAGCTAGGAATTTGTTCATAGATATTTTAAAATTGAAAACTGACATTCTGAGAAAATACAGATTAGTACATGTAACTGGGTATGTATTTTGAACATCACAGCAAACCATGATTTGTCATGATAACAAGGACGCTTCATTCATGCCTCTATTCCTCTGTACCATTTCTTCCATTTTGAATATGCTGTGGAATTTGTTGCATCATCCAAACTTGATGAACTATGTTCATCATAAACATGGATTTTTCAACGATGGGTTTCTAAGTTAACCTAGCATTTTATTGCACAAAAGAGGCAGACTGACATTGCATAAAAAAACCCTATCACACATCACCATCAATAGCTGTAGATCAGAACTTCTTCACACAGGTTTCTTTTCAGGAGTGGCAGGAGGTTATTGGCAAGTTTGGCCATGGAGACTGGCAGCTCCCATCACACCCAGTAAAACTACTTCTGGGGCAGCTCCATGGCCACATTGAAAAAAAAAACCTGCTGTCACCCAAAACTAAGCCAATGGTGGACAACGGGAGGGTCCCTGTCTTTCCATTACGAAAATCGGTCAAGATGGATTTAAGAGGCTTCCCCCAATGTAATGAGGCAAGGAGGAAGCCACAATGGTGTGAGGTGCGGTACAACGGGTCCCCACACCCTTTGGGTGAGCACTGGTGGGATACAGCAAGACTGGCTGATTCCAGTGGCAAGTGTGATAAGGTCATATGTTTTCATGTTTACTTGATACAATGAGGCTGTTCTTCTTCTGTACCCCATGCTGCCACTGACATAATGTCAGGAGTCAGCATTCTCTTCCTCTCCCACTCCCCAACCTTCACTTTTTTTGAGGTTGGAATTTTTGATTTAAAATTTTATTTCATTTAAAAAATAAACATAGCTGGAATTTAAAAATTGCTTTAAAACTATTTATGAAATTATGGAACCATGAGAACATAAATTATGAGGTTATATGAAAGTTAGAGTTTGGGATCATGAATCAGGTAACTGGTGCCGTTACATGAATGCAGGGATATATGCTAGTTGTTCATGCTGTCACTATCAGTGATTACACAATTGCTATTGAATAACAGTTTATACAACTAAGGCTGAAATTAAGTATTACAGTTTAAGTATGAATGTGTAACACCAAAATCTTAATATCAGATTAACCCAAAATCAAATTGACATGTCCAGTTTTCTCCTTGTGACTGAGCCAGAGGCAGTGAGGGAAACATGGGAGTCCAGGGGCAATCTAGGTTCAAGCCTATGACACTATATCTTGGTTCATCATAGCGAATGTTATGTCTGTCAACATGGAAGCATAAAAAGCTAATTGTTTTTGATACTTCAGAAAGTGACTAGAAAGATTCCCACTTTCTTGCAGAGATGAGTCTTACAGAAAATTAGTTTCTCTTCCATCTTTGCTGGTGGGGAGGGGTAGATTACTAGGAAATTCATTTCTTTCACCTCTACTGCAGAAGAGGTGGAAAAGCCAAATCAAATCTGTTTGGCAAAACATGCTGTAGCCTATCATATGGATTTTTGTTGCTTTTAATAATTTGCATTTTTATAAGTTTACTCAGTCCTGATACCATTTCTGTTTCCATGCTATCCTGTTTCTATACTCACTCAGCTTTGTTAGGACCTACAGGTCAAAATATTAAAATTGGCTTCTGGTACTGCATCATAAAACAAGAGATAAGTTGAAGAAACTAAGTTTGTTTTTTGGCAACAGATGAAAACAGAGCTAAGAAAAGTTACTTTTTTGAACCATAATTCTCAAAATCCCTGAGACAACAAACAACATAGCTGCTGGCACTACTAACTGCAGGATTCTAAAAGAAATAGTCCAATAAAATATGTTTTCCACATTCTGAATGAAACTATGCAACAGCCCCTCCTACAAAAAAAAATCTGTAGGATTTTGCTTCTGCATATAGACCTAGATCCACATTAATCTCACCAATATGAGACCCATATAATAAATCTGAAATCAATAAGTTGAAAGGTATAAAAGTTCCTTGATTAAATGAGTCCAAATTAGTTGGGACCAACAACTACATATCTACCATAGTCCAATTATAAATGAGGGCTCTAAAATTTTCAGTCTTTATTTGCTGGGTTTTGAGCTTCACTTAAATGTTGAATAAAAAGCTTGGCTAATCTTAGTATCAAGTTGGCTATTGACTAAATTCTCTCACATACCTAAGTGTTATATGTATATGTATATATTACTGCATGGCAAAGATCCAAAGAAAATCCCCACCCACACACATGTAGGAACCTATAGATACTCAGAATTTTTTTTTTACTTTTCCCCATCATTTCTTTGAAGAGCAGAGTCACTTGTCATATTATAAGATGGATGTTGAGCCTTTAAAAGAGAAGGTTGAGAGGAGACATGACAACTGTTAAATATTTTAAAGGATGTCATAGGAAGAAGGAGTAGGCTGGTTTTCTAGTGCCCTAGAGACTAGGACTTGGAGATTCCACATTAACATTAGGAATAACTTCTTGACTGTAAGAGCTTTTCAACAGTGGAACTCTCTGCCTCAGAGTGTAGTGGAAGCTCCTTCTTTGGAGGCTTTTAAACAGAGGCTGAATGGCCATTTGTCAGGGGTACTTTGATTATGCTTTTCCTGCATGACAAGGGATTGGACTAGATGGCCCATGTGATCTCTTCCAACTCTGTTATTCTATGATTCTATGACACTTAGAAGACTAGTTCAAAAACAGTCTGCTATCCAACTTTATATTCTTTTGGATGTGCAGAGAATGTGTTTGGCTATCAGAACTGAACAACATAAGGAGGACATCACCCCACTGAATAAGAATTCTTCCCTAAAATGAAACATTCTTTCATTATCCAGTTTTCTAACACTGCAGAAAGCAAAATATTGAACATCTACAACTCTTCTATATGCTTTGCTCATTTTCCTTTGATAATTGTGTCTGCCTCTACTCATTGGATGCCTAAACTGTATTTTAAATGCTCAGTTGAATGCTAGTTATTGCAGGGATCCTTTCGCCTCTCAAGCCCTAACATATTCTACGTAAAGTCATTAACAATAGTGTGTCACTTGCAAACCCTAGACATGATGGATTTATCAAATTCTGAATTCAAAATTATCAAACCAAGCAAAACAATGATAGGAGATTTAGCTTGATAGTGGGTCAGCTCCTTTGATGACCAACCATGGAATAGCAAGACTAGACATATAACATTAGTTTAAACAAGGGCCACTTTATTTTACCTAGAACCTATTTGGAACCTGGCAAGGAGCAAGATTGGGCAGCAATCTGATGTGGGTTCAGCTGTGGCCAGGTGTCAACCCTAGATTACCTCCTCAGCCTTCCCTTGGATGAAACATCACAGCCCTTAGGGCAATCCAATAATTGGGTTGCTCCCCAGTTGGCCCATTTCTGGAAAGTAACCCTAGGGCACCCCCATCCCAGTAACAGGTATTTATAAATGAAAGCAAACTCTTGGTTAGCCTTGAATGTAGACCCCCCCCCCCGTTGTCACTCAGCTGCAATGTCTGTTTGCCTGCCTTGTTTATAAACTCCATAAAGAGAACACATATTTCCCAAATCCCCCATTTTTGTAGTATTCAACTTTCCATATATGGTGCTCAAAACAGATTTTTGTCAGATAAGTTGGCTTCTTTTTTATGTTCATCCTAGCCTGTATTTTCTATATTTTTGCTACTACCATTTCCTAAATCCAGATCTCAGCAGGTTCTCATGTATATTTGGATCAGCATGATTTAGATCAAATGTTCTAGGGTCTTTTGTGAACCAGAGACTCAGATATCTATCATCCACTAAATCAGTGGTTCCCAACCTTTTTATTTAAAAAATATATATTATTTAAGTAGACATACATTTGCAAGTGTATGTTGCATACAGTTCAATACTATCTATCTATTAATGTTCCATAATCATTTATCTGATAATATATTTCTGTTAAGGGGTCACAGTCTACTATCTAAAAATGCATATAAAATATCATAGACTCTTACTTTACATCCACTTCTTCCTTGTCTACATTCTTATAGGTAAAGGTAAAGGTAGTCCCCTGACATTAAGTCCAGTCATGTCTGACTCTGGGGTGTGGTGCTCATCTCCATTTCTAAGCCGAAGAGCCAGCGTTGTCCGTAGACACCTCCAAGGTCATGTGGCCGGCATGACTGCATGGAGTGCCGTTACCTTCCCGCTGGAGCGGTACCTATTGATCTATTCACATTTGAATGTTTTCGAACTGCTAGGTTGGCAGAAGCTAGGGCTGACAGCAGAAGCTCACACCGCTCCCCGGAATCAAACCTGCGACCTTTCTATCAACAAGCTCAGAAGCTCAGTGCTTTAACCCACTGTGCCACCGGGGGCTCCTTATAGGAGCCTCTATATACATTTTTAGTTTAATTTTACATTAAGGTGATAAATCATTGGTTGTCATTCATTAAAAAAATATCTAATAGTTCTCCTCTTAATAATACAGTTATTTTGTCCATTATCAGCATATCTATAATATATTTTTCCCATTCTTCTAAAGGGGGTATCTCTGGGGTTTTCCAATATCTAGCATATACTATTCGAGCTGCCACTGTTGAGTAAAACAATTTTTTTTCTAAATTTTCTTTCTAATTCTTCCTCAGGCATATTCAAAAGGTACATTTGAGGCGTCATTTTGTAATTTGTGTTTAACATTTTTTCAAGATATACATGGATCTGTTTCCAGTAATTTTTTTACTTTGCTGCAAGTCCACCATGTGTGGTAGAATGTACCTTTTTCTTTCCCACATTTCCAACATTTGTTGGAGCAATTATACATCTTAGATAGTCTCTCTGGACTATCGCAGATGCATTTTATAAATATTTTCCTTTAGGTTTTGGCATGCAGTGTATTTCATTCTTCTCTTTCATGTCTTTTTCCACTGGGGCATTTTTATCTCTTGGCCTTTATTTTGGGCCCAACTAACCATAGACTCTTTTACTATTTCCTCTTCCATGTGCCAAGTCAGTAAATTTGTGTGTGTGTGTGTGTATGTGTATATATATATACACATACATGTGGCAATGTTGATGTGGCAATGTTTCTGAAACATTGCCACATCAAACCATGTTTTCGTTGTCTGGAAGCCCGAGGTTCTAAGTTGTTCTTTAAATTTCTCTTGCAATTGTCTATGCAGAAGCCAATTGCATTTAAGGCCCTTTTGGTTCAATTCTTCTAGGGATTTCATTTCTGGATTTTCTAAATCAGTCTGGATCAGTTCCCTGTAGGTTAGTCATTTCCCTTGGAGGATGTTCTCCTTTTTATAATATGCCTCATGTGGGGACATCCACTCTGGTGTCTTCGTGTAAATTCTGTTTTTATATCTGTTCCAGGTATTTAGAATTGGTCTCCATATATAATGATCATTAAATATACCTGTTGGTTTGGCCTTTTGTATGTCCAAATATGCATGCCATCCAAATAGAAGATTTAGGCCTTCTAAATCGAGTAATTAATTGTCTTCTAAGGTCACCCATTCTTTAATCCAGTCAAAACAGCATGCATTTTGACCAGGGACCACTTTGACCAGGGACCACTCTCCAACATTAGTATTAGAAGGGTTACGAATTGGTTTTTGGTCAACTTTAAATTTGGTTTGGTTATTTGGGGTGCTAATTCAGAAAAATGCACTGGATAGACCACATCAGCTCTATTTTCTGATACAGAACACATGTCATCCAGTAGTCACTAACTGCTTGTCCACAGAAAACCATTTAATAATCTATAGCTGATGTGGTCTATGCAAGGGGTCAGGGTTGATCAGTGAAAGGGAAGGAGCAGCAGGCGGCGTGAAAGGAGTAGAAATAAATTAAAATAAAATAAATAAATAAATGAAGAGGAAGTAGGCTTGTGGACCAGATTTTCATCCTCACAGCCCACTAGTGGTCCACAGCTCACAGGTTAAGAACCACTGCACCAAATGATAGCAAAGTCTTTCTTATAAACCCCATGCTACCTTTTACAGTTCAAAAAGTTCAGAAATTGTCCATCCACTTAATACATTGAGATCCAGCAATGATTAATCCAGTTAAAATTAGGCACCTTCCAAATTGTGACTTGGGGGGACAAATCCCTTCTTGCAGCTGATGAAGAAGCAATAGATCAACAGCCTCTTATCATCCTACCTAATGTTTCATAGGCAGCCTAAACAGCAGGATTTGGAATGATTTAAACTGTGTGCACAAATACACACACAAACACCTTTTAAAAATTGTCTTAGCAGGAGTGTCAAGCAGCGTAACTAAGAAATATAAAAATGATTTGTCAAGCCTTTCTGTAATGTTAGTGGAAGATACGCTTCTCTTCCTGCCACAATCCCTTCTTCCCTCAGCTTCCCACACATCAAATATACCAGTTATTCTTCCATAATGGAAACTGCAGTTTATAGAGTAGGGAACAATTATGAATTGCCTGCTGGCACAGAGCTTAATATATGATAACCATTAGTGTGTGAAGACTCTCAACCAAATGAAAATTTTCAGGTTATGAACAGCCTTGAGGGAAGGCTTTGCTGGGCTCAGTTGCGGGAGGGCTGCCTGCAATTATTTATCACCCTGCACTAAAACAAGGCTAAAATTAAGGGAATGCTCCCCATGGTAGGTAATAATGCAAAAATGCTGACGTAGATCTGGGACAATAAACAGAAGAAATAGCCTTCTGAGCAATGGGGAATTAGCAAACACATCTCAGGGAAGAGCCATCTCGCTGCTGCCTTTTGTCACTCTGACAAGGCAAAAGCGTAAACAACCCCTTAGCTGAAACTCATCATTAGTAATTTCATAGATCAAAGTTTTTCGTAGCCTCCTTGGTTCCACAGAATGATTCTACAGAATGAGAGAATTAGCCTACTATGAGGGTGAAATCATTTCCCGGTTTCTAACTTACCAGTGTTGGGCTTACAACTAATAGGATTGTTTGCCCATATGATAACAGCAGGAATATTACCACAATTTCTCTGTTTTCCATTTCTCTGTTAAATGTTTTATAAAGTTATCTTTGCATTAGAGTCAAACACCACAAATGAACATCTTCATGATACATACCACAGAAAACATTACTATTGGTGCTGCAGTGGTTTGTGTTCTCCACGAAACAGCAAATATGCTGTAATAGATGGGGCTCTTAATCAGATTCTGGGGCAACATGCATTCATGGGCCACTTTGTGTTGTGTTATGTGTTATTCCTGCATAGCCGAGGGTTAGACTAGGTGGCCCTTGTGGTCTCTTCCAATTCCATGATTCTAGAGATCTCCCTTTTATCTCTGAAATTCAGTATCAGGGTTTCTGTAGACAGCTCTGTTCTTGCACCTACACACAAGGCCACTCTTTTGTGAATCAAACCTTTTCCTTTTCATGAGCTGACAAAGACAAGAATTATGATTCTGTGGGGAAGAGCCATAAGTCAGTAAAAGAGCATACATGTTGCATGTATAGTCCCTGGCTGAACCCACATACCTTCGGTCTGGGCTGGAAAGACCTCGGAATAAAAATGTTCAGTTACCACTCCTCCATACTGATGTTCATTAGGTCATCTGCCTCGCTATAAGACATCTTATTATTATTCCTTTCTGCATCTAGACAGAGACAGGAGCTGTGCCAAGTCTCTAAACATGAGGGTCCTATAACGGTACAAACTAACCTGAACTGGCCTTCAGAGATCTTCCAGGATTCAGGCAGAGCTTACTGCGGGCATTTTCTGTACTATTATTCCACACCACAATTTCACCTCCAGAACTCCCTAGATCAAACAATAAAGAGATGGTGCACTATTAAGACAGGCTGCATGGACAAAGATGAGACTTTGCAATATGATTTTAGGGGGAGGATGCTACGTGGGAGTGCGAGAGAGAGTGAGGTCAGAATGTAGTGTGTTTTGGTGACTTCACAAACTTTTGAGAATACAAATGAGGGCTGATAGAAGAGAGACAAAGTCTGAAATCAAATCAAGCAAAGGTTTGTTAGACAGACATTTGATTCTCACTGAAGTCACGCATCCTATTAACTTTTGTCACCCAGACTTATTGCTCTATCAGATTTCTGTTCTCAGCTTTCACCTTTTCTTATCTTGTGTACAATTCTGTATTATTTTCTTTGAAGGATTATTCCATCTCACATCCCAAGCTTTGTGCCAAGACACCACCCAGAAATAGCTCTGTTTAGCAAACCAGGCTTTATTGAACCACTGAATTTTGATCACAGATCAGATTTGTTTACAAGCAGTTTCTAATAAGTGTGGCAGGTCAGTGATGAGAAGTTTGATGACTATGAGCAGGAACAATTCAAGCATCAAGACCAATTGGAAATATTTGCTGACTATCTCTGGCATAGCATAAAAATGGCAGGAGGTTAATAAGAAGGGATAAAAGACTAACCTACAAAATGTCCCTTGTGGGGAAAAACAAGCCTTAGGGTCAATTGTAGACTGAGACTGTTGATAAATGAGTTCAGGGCCTTAATCCAAAATAAGAGTGAGTCAAAATATTTTTCTGACTGAAGCAAAACAACAAACCACACTTTCCATCTCAGTCACTTGGGCCAAGTACACAGAAGCCATCAAGTTACTTTGTCACATGAGAAGAAAATTTCACAAGTGCTTGGTGTCGAAGTGTTGTTTCCAGTCCCTCCGAAGTGGCAGTAAGTATAGAATAATAATTTAAGTAAAGAAAAAAACATGACATGCTACCTTTTCAAAATCTGCCTTCTCTAGTTACCTCACTCTGCCTAATAGTAGGGCCTAATTAAGATGTTATTTGAAGGTAAACACCAAATTTCTTGTTATATAGAATAGCATTTTAGGCAAAAGTACATAAATTTTGAACAATTATTAACCATTCCTCAGCATTGCTACAAATTCCCTCAACCATTCAGATCATATTCTAACCTTGTCTGTAGGTTGATGCATGAATAATGGTTGGTGATAAATATAATTGAATATTAGAACAAATCTATAATGTTCTGTTACTAAATTTTTATTGTTTTATAGTGTATGCCAAATCTATAATGTTAACTATGCCAGTGTGCTCTATAATGCTTGACAAGGGTTCAGATCCTTGCACAGCCATAGTAACCCACTGAGTGAGTCACACTCTCTCAGCCTCAGAGGAAGGCAGTGATAAACCCCTTCTGAACAAATCCTGCCAAGAAAAGAGCAAGCATTGAAAAACATTCACATCTAGAACTGACACATTTATTCTGTTTGTGTTCCCTTAGTAACTTTGCTTGTGTATTTCTAATGCTCATAGAAACTTGGAAACTCAAGAAACAAAATTATGGAGGAAACAGATTTCTTATTTGGAAGCAACTCCAACCCTCTGTCCATAGTTACACCCCTGAGAATCAGGGCCATTGTTTTCATTGACTGAGGGTCCTATCACACTGTATCGTTATAATACTACATTCTGCATTATCTGCCATGGCAATATCCTAAATTCTAAGAATTACAGTTTAGGGAGGGGTGTTTAGAATTCTTAGTCAGAGAGCTATTGGGTATCACAAAACTACAAACCCTAGAATTTCACAGAATGATGTATATAACTATGTGTAGTGTGATAGGGCAATTAGAAAATATTTACTTGTCTGCATTCTGTAACTAATACAGGCTTATCATGTGTCTAAGTTACAACAGATCCAGCCAGGCATGCAGATGGCAATGGCCTTTATTCCAATTTTGGATTGATATATTAGGCAATTAATGTTCTACAACCTGTAGCTAGAGCCTGTGGAGGTAGGAAAGCCGCACATAAGATGTCTTCCTGGTGTTGAATTCCTCCTTTCCATTCTGAAGGCTGAACACAAAACTGAGTCAAGTTGTTCAGCCGGAAGACAGTAATTGACCTAACAAGAGATATGAATACAAATAAATCCATGTGAGTGAACTCAATCATTTCTGACCCGCTTGCAAAAAGAAAAAGTGCTTTATCACAGAGGTGAAGCCACTCTACATAGTCTGTACATTCTCAGGTTCAGGTATCTGCAACAGGAGGTAGATTTCTGGGAGCCTGTCATATTTTAATTAACAAAACTGAGAAAAGTTCAAAACGTGTGTTGTCCAGTGTCACAGAAGTCAAAGTCTGGCTCTGGGTTTCCGCACTGACCAGTAGAAATTATATTCAGGCATATCTGATGTACTTAGCAATTTTAAGAGAGGATTTGATACAAATCCCATGCACATCTGGTCATCTGCAGGCCACATATGTTCACAAATGCTTCCCATATTAAATCTTAAGGCTTGTATAAGCTTTGCTGTTTGCAGGGTCATATGAGCATCCTACAAATAGAACGTACTTATGGTACAAATATAGCAATTCAGTACACAGAAAGAGAGCAGTTGTTAAGATGTTGAGACTGCAATTGCCATTATCTCTTATCCTTGGGTATGCGAACTAGGGATGAGGAGAGCTGTAGGCCAACAACACCAAGGAAGTCAAATGTTTCCTGGTTTTGCTTTAAAGGTCTTCTTTTTTGCTTTTCCCCTTCTCTAATGGTCATGGGCTCACACCAAGGAGCAGGAAAAGACCCGTCAACATTCTGTACCAATGAGAGTTGAAACCTACCATCTATACAAGAATTGTTTTAATTAGGAAAAACTGGAAGGCTATGCTGTTGAATCAACCATCAAACTTTCTTGAAAGAAATGAATTTTTGTCCCACATTCTGACAGACCAGAAATAGAGCTGCTGCCCTCAAGCACATATTAAAAGTTGCCAGTTCACTCATACTTTGTGGAAGCATTTGGGTATCTTACCATTCAAACAACATTTCTTTCCAAGATTTCTGTAGCCTTCTATAGATTCCTTCCATGTAAAAAACTATGACTTCATTCCTTGCTATCTGAAAGCCCTTGACACTTATATGTCAGGAAAGAACTAAATATACTGTGTCAGGTTGTTAACTTGAGAAAATCCCTGAAACAAAGGTTTTCTAGGTGAACTGAAGTAAAGCTGTAGTATCTAGTCCGAGTGAAGCCATGTTAGCTTTCTCCTTCAGCTTTGAACATCTTCAGCTAAGTTTGCTATTTGTACTTTATACCACCAAAACCAATCATATTTGGACATCCCTGGTAATGGCCACTGGTGCCCTTCCCAAGTACTAATGAAGCCAGCCCTGCTTCACTTCTAAAATTAGACAAGATTATATGCTTCCTGGTTCATATGATGAAGAATGGAGAAAGAGCAGGTTATACATACTATGTTAAATATCACTAGCATTGAAGAGATGGTCCTCCACCATCAACTCGGCTGGACCAGCCACATTGTCCGAATGCCCGACCACCATCTCCCAAAGCAGTTGCTCTACTCTGAACCTAAAAACAGAACATGGAATGTTGGAGGATAGGAAAAGAGATTTAAAGATGGGCTCAAAGCCAACCTTTAAAACTCTGGCACAGTCACCGAGAACTGGGAAGCCCTGGCCCTTGAGCGCTCCAGCTGGAGGTCATGACCAGCAGTGCTGTAAAATTTGAAAAGGCACGAATGGAGGGCAAAAGAGAGAAATGTGCCAAGAGAAAGGCGCATCAAGCCAACCCCGACCGGGAACACCTCCCACCTGGAAACAAATGCCTTCACTACAGGAGAACATACAGGTCAAGAATAGGGCTCCACAGTCACCTACGTACCCACTGCCAGTACACTGATCTTGTAAGGCCATCCTACTCAGACAACAATGGATTGCCTAAGTAAGTAAGCAAGTAAGTATTACTTTTTAGACAGAAAGATGAGTCCTTAAGGGGTCTCATCAGGGATACCAAGGCTGATACTCTAGAAGAGCTACTAGGCTACAGAACTATCTTAATTACATGGCTAAGTAGTCTCTTAACCATCAGTATCAGCTGCTGCAAGCAATGGAAATCTATTCTCCTATTTGGAGTATGCTGCAAATTGATATTCTTACCCCACTCCCATGAGCTATGTCACGATGGTCATCCATTGTTCACATATGTCAGGATTGTGAAAATGAATTATGAATGTGTAACTCTAGGTTATGCATTCAAAATGCAATTGTGAATTCCAGCTCATATCTCAACCCAATGAACAACTTATGTAGTGTGATCAAGAAAGCTTTGGGTATTTTTTCCCCTCTTGATTTTCTAGCTATCTCATTTCACAGTCTTAAGTCTCCCACCCCTTTCATATCTTTCCCTATTTCAGAGATGCAATTTGGGTGAAATCTCCTGCTTTCGAATCAGAATCAATGATCAAAAAAGAGACTAACCTTCAAGAAAAGAAAATATTTTATGAAGAGATATGCTTGCAACATGAAATGGAATATTTTAATGATTCTTTTCATTTCCCCTTTTCTCTTTCTTTATCTGCCTTTGTTGAAAAAACTTTGCACTGAAAGTATCAGTCTGATATTTTTTATATCACCTATTGTTCAATCATATTTCTTTACTGCCAAAACATAATGGCAAACCTTCTTACAATGCACTGAACATTGTGTCTCATCATATTGATAGATGAAGGGGATAATTATTGCTCTAGTCTCCTTGCAGCAGTGCTATGATGAGCTCCTAAGTTAATACTTTTTTAAAGACCTCACATTTGAAAAAAAAGGAAATAAGGAACATAAAAATAAACATGGCATTTTGAAAAAAAGTCCAAGAAAAAAAGTGAAGCAGAATATAAGAAAAAGAAAAATGTGTGTGTTTTAAATCCAGAAGTACAATACTGAAAATGATAAATGCCCTAACAGTTGTTTATTTGCTCATTTCAATTATATTTAAAGCAGTACTTTTGCTTATATTTACTCTAGAGAAGAAATGGATAAAGTTCATCTACTCTGATGTTTTTGTGTAATATCTTCCATCATCCATAGTCAACACAGCCATGGGCAAGGAGTACTGAGATTTATTTTCCCACAAAATCTGGTGAGGAATGCTTTCTTGTTCCCTAATCTTGAGGAAGAGGGTGGTTGCTATTAGCCTCTGTCATTCATGTAACCTGGTGAAAGTTACTAATTCCCATATTAGTGGGGCAATGAATCCAGTCCTAATCTTAGTTAAAACTTTGAAGAAACTATCTAAAGCATCAAACCTAATTCATGGTTAAGCACCATGGATAGGTCCTTTATATTCCAAGCAAAAAAAGAAAAACCCTGAGAACATTAGCTGTGCTCATGTCCCACTGAAATCAACAGGGCAAATTAGCTGCAAGTAATTATATTCAATAGTGCTCTGGGTCTGAGTCATGTTTCATCCTTTGTCTTCTTTGGCTCTGAGTCATGCTTCATCCTTTGTCTTTCCTTTTGTACCTGTCTTATTTAGATGGCATACCTTCAGGCAAGGACAACTCTCTAATTTTAGATGCATTTGAAGTTAAGACTAAGAATGCTAATGCTAGTATTATTAATAATAATTGTAACTAAGTGTGGCAAATTGTATAATATGAGCAGAAATGTAAGAATACAGAAATGGTGGGCAGGTTACTTTCTTACAAATGATTGGAAAAAACTATATTTTTTCAGGTCCTTTAGCATACTTAATGCTTGCTAAGAGAGTCAACATGGTGTAGTGGTTGTGGCAGTGGACTGTAACTCTGGAGACATCTAAACCATGAAATCCATCGGGTGACCTTGGGAAATTCACATTCTCTCGTCCTTAGATGAAAGCAATGGCAAAACTCTTTTGAACAAATATTCACAATTCAGGACTTACTCTATGTAAAATTTGCAACTACTACTTTCTGCACAGAAATGTTGTTGCCTCCACACCAGATTGTATAATTTAGATTCATTATGTACAAAAATCACACATTGTGTTTGGAACAGAAAACAGCATTTTCTGTGAAGAAAACTGCATGCTCCCTGCATGAAATTGTTGATTTGTGCATAAAATGCTGTTTTCTTAACAAAACGCACATGTGAATGTTGTGCACAATGAAGTCACGAAATGCAGTTTATTTTTGAAAACTATGCAGGTTGCGAACTTTCTCAAAGGGGAGCAACATTGTAAAATTTCTTATTGTTCATATTTGCTCATATATGTCTTGGAATTATCCAAGACATTTACCTTATATACTCATGTATAAATCTAGAAATTTTAGTCAAAAAATATACCTCCCAAAAAAACCCTGGGTTGTCTTAACCATGAGTCGATATGACTATTGTACCATAACTCATGTCAAAAAAGGATACATCCCATTCTCTGAGTATAGTGGTTAAAGATCCTGGGAGCTCTTTCCTGGGACAACCTAAAATAAGTACTGACCCCATCTACTCTCTGCCCTGGTGCTACTTCTAGCCTTTTACATTCCTTAATGGAGGAATGTAATGGTGACCAGGAATGGCTGATGCTTTCCCCTCTCTTCAGAATAACCTTTGACTTAGCCAAAGGTCATACCAAAATCCCTAATTTTGCCACCAAAACAGGCCCTCTGTTGATACATGGGGTCAACCTATACATGAATATATATATATTTGCATGACAGTTATATAGAACGGGCTATATTGTCACTCACACAGAGAGATACTTCCACACCAGGCATAGAGCTTTAGTACTTACAATGAAATCAAAATATTCCCAATGACATGTTACATTTAAAACCCAATAGACTGAGAAGATCTTCCTGCCAGCAAAGCCTGGCACTGCCAACTGTTGCAGGACAACTGCCAGTCTTGCCCCTGCCTCTGTTTTTTGTTACTTTGGACATTTTGTATTAAAATGTGCTTGAATTCAAAGTTACTAGGGTTGGTTGTAGGGTTTATTTTTAGATGAACATTGTGGGGAACTCTGTTCCTAAGCTGCATGCAACCAGTCTGTTTTTCAAGACTGGAGAAACTCAGAGCACCTCGGGCTACCCCTTATGGATTGTTGTCTCAGTGTGGAGAGGCAGACACTG